TTTAAATCCTAATGTGTGTAACGGACCTAGTGAATTATATATATATATATATATATATATATATATATATATATATATATATATTTTTTTTTTTTTTATGCCCAAAACTAAAACAAACATCGTACTAAATCAGGAAATCAAGCAGCGTGATTGGCTATAAGGAGAGTGGAGACAGATGATACTCTGAGTTTACTGAAGAAAACCTGCTGCTGACTAGGTTAGCTCTGGGTGGATGTTACTATGGCAACAGAAACAGAGGTAGAGAAAATTCTCATTGGGAAACGAAAAGTCAGATTTTCCGTTTTCAGGTTCAGGTGAACGTGCTTCATGAAACTGACTCCTGGCTTCCCCTGACAGGATGAAGGCAGGCCGAGTCCAAATGATCCCCAGAAACCCGAACCCAGGACAACTGGCCCGGAGGAGCAACACCAGCCAGAACCAGTCAGGTTCTGAACCCAGCTCCTTCAGAGGCTGGACCACGGTCCATGGGGAGCAGCACATGTCTGAGGTCACATTCAGGATGGGTGACAGAGCGCTGAGTGCTGTTTCAGCCTACAGTGGCCTACTGTGACCCCCTGGTGCCACTGAGTCCCAGGAAAGTCAGTCAGAAAGGAAGAGAGACAGTATGAGCTATCGTCTGACCTCCATCTATGGTCAGGGTTAAAGAGGGGGTGATGGCGGGGGCGTTCCTGACTATTAACAGATGAATCCCATTAATATTGGCTTCTGTTGGGGAGCAACAGATCAGATTTGGGATTTAGCCTTGAATACAGAAATGTTCTTAACCCTTTAAGGTCCGCACCAAGAAAACTGCAATGAAAAAAATGTTTCTTTGTATTTTTTATTCCTTTAGAACATCAATAACAAAGTGCATAACTTTTTTTAAGAAACACCCCCATAGTTTTTAAATCACAAGCCTCTACCAAACGGTTGAGAATTCCATTTATGGTAAAACTTTGCATACAATTACTCATAACAAAAAATGATTAAAACTCTTCTTTAATCTAGTAACAGAATAGGAAAAACAGGCAAAAAGAGTTGTAGTGCATTAGAACCAACTGCAACTGCAGTTTTGATGTATCGGATCAACCTTATTTCTGGGGCTGAGTAGGTCTTGGGGTGTAATGTTTCTTCTGATGCAACATTTGTGGTGGAGAAGAAGATGGTGTTCTTCCAACCTTCTGTGCTGGCTTGTTGACCTGCATCAAAATATGAGCAACTGCCAGATGAAACCTTTTGAGGCAGAGTGGCTTCTCATTCAGTAGGGCACAATCCCTCTTATGAATGAGCCAGGCATTTGAGATGCACAGATCAAAAATCGCCTTGATTTTGCTGGGGTCTTGTACATGTGTACCAGCATGTCTGAGTGGTTGATGCCTCCCATATGTTGATTGTAGTGAAACCCACTGAAATGTATGACATCACCCAGAAGCAGCAGGCTGAAGCAAACAAACATGGCTGACCTGTAGAGGCTGTTTTAGCCTCATTTCTATCTAAAACCCAGCAGTAGGACACGATCTGTGCCTGTTTGGATGGGAGGGATGTGGATTGGACTGCATCAGTTAACTCCACTAGTTGTGAAACAAACCAAGAAGGTGACAGACATCTTACAGCTGCTGTGATTGGCTAAAAGCCTGACATGAAGGCGGGTGCCACTTGGTGATTTAACCAATCAGCTCCATGAATTGTCCTGAATGTCCCTCACTGTGGAGTCTTTTCCAGGTGGAACTCAGATGGAGCTAAAGTTATCAGTCTGGCTCAGTCACAGATCTGCTCTATGATGGGAGACTGTCTGGTTTGTGAACATGGGTCAGGTCTCATAGATCAGTGTGCCAGATCAAGACCATCCCTACAGTAAGGTACGGTGGTGGCAGCATCATGCTGAGGGCTGTTTTCCAGCAGACTAGTAGGATAGAGGAAAAGCTGAATTCCCAGAGCCCCACAGAGACTCAAAGCACTCGGCTGAGAGGTGAAAGGAGCGGATCAGAACCGCTGTGGAAGTCAAAGCCGGAGCAGAATCTGATGGAACATCTGGAAACCCTCATTCAGGCAAAGGATGAACGCTGCAGAGTCAGGACTGGATGAAAGCAGCTCGTTTCCTTAGATAGAAACAATGGCCCCTGGGGCCAAACATTGGACCCTCCTGAAGCCCACGCTGAGCAGAGCCTGCCTCATGACAGAGAGGTTTGGGTTTCTCCTGGAAGCCAGCAGCTGTGGTCAGAGAAGAACCGCTGGGGAGCCAGTGAACATTGACCTCCCAGCACAGCAGAGATGGAGCTCAGTCTGCTGAGAGATGCTGCAGAGAGCTTCCTTCTCTCTGTTAGTCTGGATGAAGACGCCCTGCCTCCTCTTCATCACGTGAAGATGAATTCAAACATAAACAGCCTTAATGATTCATGTTTATCTAACTGGCATCATGTCAGTGGAGGGTGTCCTAGTCAAAGTAAATGCTGTGCTCACTGATATGGTGATGGTATCATCATACTGCCCTGCAGCAGCCATGGTGGAACGCTGGAATCACGTCCAGTGGATGAATGGACGGCTTTCAGTAAAAGCATCAAAATGGTCGCCCTTTCATAACTGAATTATAGAAATACAATAAATAGTTCCAAAAACAAAACAAACTCCTCTATAAATGGTTTCTATTTAAATAAAGGAAATCATCATCTAGTCCAGGGGCTGCCACACCAAACTGCTCAAACAGCCATATTGGATCATAAAACACTAAAATATATCTGTCTGAAGCTGCAAAAATGTAAAAGTAAAAAATGTAAAAGCCTCGTAGGGCGACATGGAATCTAAGGCTACGTTCACACTGCAGCCTGAAGTGACCCAATTCCGATTTTTTTGCCCATATGTGACCTGTATCTGATCTTTTTATGACAGTCTGAACGACACAGATCGGATTTTTTCAAATGCGACCCAGGCCACTTGGATATGTGGTCCTGAATCCGATACGTATCTGATCTTTTCAAATGCGACCTGTGTCTGTACGGCCAGGTCGCATTCATCCGACCTACACGTCATTGATACTTGACAAATGTTACTAAACGTTACTAATCTGCGTCCTACTAAGCGGAGGTGGGAAAAACTAACAACCATGTCGGAAGATAACACAGAGAGCAGTCAATGGAGAGCTCAGTGAGAGCTCTGTACGGACGTTGCTATTACTGCCCCACAAAACGCCATTGCAAGAAATCTGGCTCTCTTTCTTTTTGATCTTCTTAAAAAGATTTCGTTCGTAATGTGCCTGCTCCTGTTGGAGAAGAACTTAAAGAACGCAATATACGCTGCGGTATTACGAGTCATGTTTACTTCCGCAAACACTGAGGACGCTTGCTACATGTGACGTCATCGCGTCCTCGAGTGCGCATGCGGGACACTTCGGTTGAACGCTTTCAGTTCACACAGTAGATCACATACAAGTCGCATATACTTGGAAGTGTGAACGGACATGCAAAAAAATCCGATTTCACAAAAAAATCGGAATTGAGCATTAAGGCCTGCAGTGTGAACGTAGCCTTGGATATGTGGTCCTGAATCCGATACGTATCTGATCTTTTCAAATGCGACCTGTGACTGTACGGCCAGGTCGCATTCATCCGACCTACACGTCATTGATACTTGACAAATGTTACTAAACGTTACTAATCTGCGTCCTACTAAGCGGAGGCGGGAAAAACTAACAACCATTGCGGAAGATAACACAGAGAGCAGTCAATGGAGAGAAAGTGAGGTTGCTGACTTAATTCATATTTGGAAAGATAGCTCGATTCAGATCAAACTCGAAGGGTCTTACCGGAACCGGGTCTTTCTTTTTGATCTTCTTAAAAAGATTTCGTTCGTAATGTGCCTGCTCCTGTTGGAGAAGAACTTAAAGAACGCAATATATGCTGCGGTATTACGAGTCATGTTTACTTCCGCAAACACTGAGGACGCTTGCTACATGTGACGTCATCGCGTCCTCGAGTGCGCATGCGGGACACTTCGGTTGAACGCTTTCAGTTCACACAGTAGATCACATACAAGTCGCATATACTTGGAAGTGTGAACGGACACGCAAAAAAATCTGATTTCACAAAAAAATCGGAATTGAGCATTAAGGCCTGCAGTGTGAACGTAGCCTAAGTGTATTAGCCCAGCATAAAAACTGCCTTAAATATATAATAATAATAATAATGCATTTTATTTAACAGCGCTTTTATTTAACAGATTATATAATAATCATCTATGATTAAATGTTTATCGTGGAGCAAATGTTACATAGTAGCATGAGGTGATGGAGGAGCAGGGAACGCTCTCACCGCGCACCGCTTAATGAAAGCAAATGATTCGCTCCATTCTTCTTTGAATCCTATGTTCTCATCAGCTATCTTCCTTTTTTCCTCTTTGGGATCCATGGCCTGAGACCCCCCCCCCCCACCGCTTTGTTTACAGCAGCCGGCTGCCTGGCACCGCGCCGCGCTGACACCTGCTGCAGGTTATAACGTGTTTCTTTGTTGACAGAAATGTTTACATTTATTGCTTAAATGTCCATCCATCCATTTTCCGTCCTGCTTATCCCAGCTGGGGTCGCGATGGGTGTGGGTGCCTATCTCCAGCTGTCTACGGGGGAGAAGCGGGTCCATCCTGGAAAGGTCTCCAGTCCATCGCAGGGCAACACAGAGACAAACAGGACAAACAACCAGTTACACACACGCCTAAGGAGAATTTAGAGAAGCCAATTAACCTAACAGTCATGTTTTTGGACTGTGGGAGGAAGCCGGAGTACCCGGAGAGAACCCACGCATGCTCAGGGAGAACATGCAAATTCCATGCTGGAATAGAGACCGCGGGACGGGAATCGAACCCAGAACTGTCTTGCTGCCAGACAGCAGTGCTACCCACCAACCACTTAGCAATAATAAAGGCATTTATTATACAAATGTTGTATATGTAAGAGGTAAGAGACTGCTCTAGTTCTGATGATGAGATGCCCCCCCCCCCCCAACAGGTCGTACCTTGAAGACCTCAGAGAAGAAGCCTGAGCCGATCTTTTCACAGAAGAAGTCATCGATGCGGGCCAGGCTGGACACGGCGCTCCGCAGCGCTCTGTATGAGGACGGCCGGATCCGGTTGGGAGCGTGGATGCTGTGGAGCTCATCCAGACCTCCTGGACCATCGTCAGCATTACACAGGCAGCACTCGGTGTGGTAGTCCATGGTTCCTCAGCAGGCTGGGTTAGACCTCTCTGACATGGTGCCTCTCACCATCAGCAGAATCCAGGTGAACCTCGGTAGGAGTAAAGGTGAACCTGATCTCACTATGATCTCATCTTTTCACAGCAGCGGCCTCCAGCGACCAATCAGAGAGGAATCCATCTTTGATGATGATGATGCCATGGATAATCCCCAATGTTCCTCTGAAGGTTGTCCATCCTCACAAGTTTCCAAACGCTCAAACTCTGCCTCGCTCTTAAAAATCCCAGCCGGCCCTGAACGCCTCACCGTGGCGGCGCATCCATCCAGCATCTCGGTCGGCTGGAGGCTGGAACCCCATCAGCACCATCAGCACCACCAGCAGCCACTGGAGATGGAGAACAGGAAACAGCACGTGAGCAAGCAGACCCCCCCATCATGGAGGAGATAAGCTGCTGGGCCGCCATCATCTTCAGACTCCTCCATCCTGTTTGCATCTCTAACTCAACGGTGGGTGGGGGGCAGCCACCATGACCCCACCCCCTCCCCGCCACTACCCCCACCCATCGCCTCCATGCGGCGCTTTAAATGTTTTATGAGCGACTTACCTCGGTCCTGTTCAGACAGCAGCTCCTGGCCTCCTCATATCGGGTCTCTGAGCGACAAGCTTCCGGTTAGAACCGGCTCGGTTCTGGTTCTGGGTTCTACAGGGATAATCCCGTCTGGGATGGTTCCATCGGCGCCTCTTCGCAGTTGGGATGATGTCTCCGGTGCTGATCCGATCCAGGTTCAAGGCTGGCACAGTGACGTCAGCGACTGCTTCTTCTTCTTCTTCTTCTTCTTCTTCTTCTTCTTCTTCTTCTTCTTCTTGTCGAGTTTTATGGCGGTTGGCAACAAACTGTTAGTAGCATTACCGCCACTTACTGGTATGGAGTGTGGTTCGTGATGGTTTAAATATTGATCCTGATACATTCTACCCTAACTTCTTCTAAACATACATTCACACATTCACACTTAAAAATATAAACATATTTGTGCACAGCTTTGTATATCATTCCTTCACTCACAAACACACTTACTATAATTAAATTCTATGGAATAATTTCGTTTTCTTTAGAAATCGAATAATTATTTGTATGTGTTTACTCCCTAAATTTTTCCTCAGTATATCTAATAAATTAACCTTCTCCTTAATGTCTTCAAACTCTCTTCTCATATATCTTCTCTCTTTTTCATATTTATGACATTCTAATATAACATGTTCTATGGTTTCATATTTATCACAGAAATCACATTTGCCTGTTTTATGTTTTTGTATTTTAAAAAGTGTATAATTAAGTCCTGTATGACCAAATCTTAACCTTGTTATCACTCTTTCCTCCTTTCTATTTCTTCTTCCATTTCTTCTTTCTCCTACCATCTTCTGAATTTTATAAAACCATCTTCCTGTTTTATCTTCATCCCACCTTTTTTGCCAAATTTCCATAACGTCAGCGACTTCCTTTAGGGATTTCAAAATAAAGGTTCAAGCGCCACACTGAGAAAATATGAATATTTCATCCAGGGGCGCCGCCAGGGAATTGGGGCCCCATTAAAGACATTAATATTGGGCCCTCAACTCCCCCCAAATAAAAAAAACATTTACTCAAGCTTTAAAACTGCTAGAAAGATGCACTGGAGACTATAATTTACATTGTCAATGTAATTTTCATTGTAATATTTCTACAAATGAAAATGATCAGAACACGAAAAGGTTAAATATACATTAACTTTGAACCTATCAAGATAATAACAGCTTATTTAACACAAAAAGCACAGCTGTATCTATGAACACATGAATAGAAAACAGGTTTAGGATTCAGAACATATATTCCTACAAGATTTCACTATAACTTTATTAAAGGACAGATTATTTTTATGCCCTGAGAGTTTATATTTCTTTAATCTGTGCATGTAATGACAAAACATGTATTTTTTATGTGGCTGCTTCAAGCCCAGAATGCTCAAAATGAGCAAGATTGATGGATCTCTTTTAATTGTTATAATTTAATCTGAATATAAAAACCCAACTAAAGTGTTTTACAATTGAAACAGATTTTATTAAATGTAAATATCATGTTAAACATCTACTAGCATTTAGCTGCTAACCATGGTTCTCAGCAATGGGAGATTTCTGGCCTCCTCCCTCTCTCCTCTTTCTCCTTCCTTTCTTTTCATTTTTCAAACCCAGACTTTGGTACGCTTCATTTTTCAGCCACAGACATTTTTACTAAACTGCTGCTTATTTACACATTTTCTTGTTCATGTGTTTCTTTCATTGTCACTACATCAAATGACGTGCACGTGGCATTTAATGCCTGATACGAGTGATAGACGGGGAGACCTGATGCGATATCGCATGAAATTTATTTCAATTTCACAAGAGGGGGGTGTCAGTATATTCATGCTTTGTTTCATTGTTTACTGCTAAAAAACTGAAGAAGGACATGAAGATTATTGATTTTACTGCTGGATTTTCTTTTATATATGAAAAATATATAAAACTATATGGGAAAAATAGATGAAATCAGAGGCCCCATCCGGCGCCTCTGATTTCATCTATAACTGATAAATATGGAAGCCCCCTTTCAGCCACATGAAACTAAAAAAAAGTCATCATTATGAGACATGCAATTTACAAACTTTGCATTTCAAAATTATGACTTTGTATTTGGCATTTCTTTATTTCCATGTGGTGGAAGCAGTCTCCCATAGATAAACAAGGAGTAATAACAGAATATAGCCTAGCATAAAGCCCCTGCTAGTCTGACTGGACATCATGAAAACAATCATCTGATCCTGGAAGCGACTAAAACAAAGGAGATGATTTGAACTGATGTGGAGAGCCTGATCTGCCATCAAACTGATAGAGAAGGTCTCTGCTCTGCTCCTCTACATCATCTGGAGAGGACAACATCAGGGCCTTCAGTCAGAGGCTCCTCAGAGTCGCTGCAACACCGACTGCTACAGGAGATCCTTCATTCAACAGCTCTTAGAAAAACATGAAACATTTTATTTTAAAGTACTTTTCATCTTTAATGGAACTGGCAAAGTATTTCCAAAAACTAAAAGTATCATTTTATTAGACCATGAGTTTTGTTTTGATAATCCACTCATCAGACTTCCTCTAACGCTGCGTGGGTTACAGTCCACGCACATGCGCCGCTGTTTGGATCACAGCGACCTGCTGCAGCTGATCCAGCATCAGCTCCCGTTTGGATCACTGAAGAGTTCCAGCCTGGAACTTCCTGCAACCGGAAGTGACGATTAATGGAATAAAAAAAATCAATCAATTAATCAAGGAGCAGTGAATTCAAAATAATGAAAAACCCACAGAATGATTCGATTACACTGCATCGAGGATCATATGTGTCTATTATTCTTTTTTAATTAAAGAATAAACGAATAAAAAAAAAAAAACAACAGACCATCCTCTGCGATGATGATGATGATGATGATGATGATGATGATTTAAAGGCATCTTCCCTGTTGACAGAGGAGGAAGAGGAACTGCTGCCAGCTGCAGATTCAGTCTGAGAGGAAGAGGAGACTCTCTCAGCTTCATCCTCTGCAGGAATCAGTCTGAGGCAGATGAAGGCAGCACTCCAGCTCCAGGATTTTACACAACTCATCTGTATCAGAGTTTCTGCCCAAGAAACTTAATGCTTAAAAAAAGAAGTAAAGTTTGACAATTAATAGAAATAATAACTGAACTTTATTGATCTCACACTGGAGAAATTCTCTCTCTGCATTTAACCTATTCTCTGCTACCATTGTGCAGCGCCCGGGGAGCAGTGTGGGGTTAAGGGTCTTGCTCAGGGACCCAGAGTGGCAGTCTGTGGTAGTGGGGCTAAAACTCACAACCTTAGCATTCAGAGCTCTATAAACTAACCACTAGACCGACACTCCCCCTTTTATTATTATTATTATTATTATTATTATTATTATTATTATTATTATTATTATTATTATTATTATTATCATCATTATTATTATTATTATTATTATTATTATTATTATTATTATTATTATTATTATTATTATTATTATTATTATTATCATCATTATTATTATTATTATTATTATTATTGTTGTTGTTGTTACTCTGTTTTTTTCTGATTTTTGAGCTTTTGTCTTTAATGATAAAATGTATTCATGGAACATGTTAAATCCTGGGATAGAAACTTAATGAACAACTAATTCTAAAGAAAATAGGAATAGATAAATAATAATAAATAATATGAAATGAATTAGCTTAAACATTTAAATGATTATTTTTAAAATATGCTCCTGTTCTGTGCAGATGTTTAAATTCTTATTCAATAGCAGAAAATCTTCGCAGGAGCAAATAAACCTGAGTGAGGTTGGACAGCTCGGTCCACATTCCTAAAATAAAATATATAGTTCTTCAAAGGGTATTAGATTAGATGAGCTTTATTGATCTCACAGCGGAGAAATTCACTCGTCACACATTGGCATAGAAGTTACAGAAGGTTCAAACAGGGAGGAAAAAGGTGCATTAAGAATAAGCAATATATATACAGTATATTCAGGTATATACAATTGTGTCCATTTAGTAAAGTTATAATCTCTATAATAAATGTTCATATTTATATATTTATATATTCATATATTTAAAGCTCATATACATTATATGTTCCACCAACATATAAAGCTGATGTTCAAAAATAATATTAAACATGAACTAAAATATAAATGGACAAAAGGACGTGATTTGAAGTAAACATTTATAATAATTATAGTAATTTATCAGCATACTAACAATGATTTTCACCAACAGCATCCTCCTGGCTCCCATCCTAAAGATCCTCTTGTTCTCAGAACATCCCATAAGATGATTAGCTAGGCTTTTATCCAATCAGCAGCGACCTTCAGCAGTCTGACCAATCAGAGACGGGCCGTGTTTTTCATGCGTAAACCTCCTTAATTCTTCATCCTCTCTGCTCTTTTTGCGTGCTTGTATTTGACAGAGGAGTCAACCCTCCGCCCGTTAACCAGCGGGAGTTACAAGCTTCAGAAACGTTCTCATTTAACTACATCAAACGGGAAAGCGTGTTTTAATTTATTTAGATGATTGTGCTCCTAAATCAAATCTCTGGTACAAAAATGTTCCTCAGTTTTTAGCATCCCGTGGTCTCTGTGTGCTTTTATTTTGAAGCACCGTGTTTGAATTAACTTCCGGTTGCCTCCGCATTCGCTAGCCAGGGCTAACGGACCCCTTGGTAGCAGGCTAGCGGGTTCTTGTGTCGGCTTCCTTGGTTGTGGGGGTTGTGCTGGCCGTCGGAACATTGTTCTAGCATGGCTCTGCTCACCCCGCTGTTCGCCTTCCTCTACCACCTGCCGCAGGTCTATAAATGGCTGCTGAAGCCTTACTATGTGGCCTCTCTGCTCATGTCGGTCGCCTTCCTGGCGGTCCGGAAAACGCCTGGAATCTGCGACCATCTGGCCTCCCAGCGGGAGGACGGGAACTCCTGCGACTTTGACTGGGTCTGTATCTCTGCATGGGACACACTGGGCCGCTCAGAACCGACGGACCGCCCCGCTGACAGGGACGGTTCTGTCGGGCCGAAGCTCGCAGGTCTGCTGCTGGACGGTTTGCTCTGGTTCTGGTTCTGAAGTGACATGGGAACTAGACAGACAGCTTCTGGGTTTTATTGCAGTTTCTCTTCTCTTTAGCAGCCACCTGAACCTCTGGTTCCTTAGATTGTAGTTTCCTTTGGATAGTTTAGTAAACCTGCTGCTTCACAGTTTGGGCCCAGAATCCATCATAAGATAGAGGATGAGGTCATCAGATAGAGGATGAGGGTGATCTAGTTGTTGATGAGGGTGATCTAATAGTGGATGAGGGTGATCTAGTTGTTGATGAGGGTGATCTAATAGTGGATGAGGGTGATCTAGTTGTTGATGAGGGTGATCTAATAGTTGATGAGGATGATCTAATAGTGGATGAGGGTGATCTAATAGTGGATGAGGGTGATCTAATAGTTGATGAGGGTGATCTAGTAGTGGATGAGGATGATCTAGTAGTGGATGAGGGTGATCTAATAGTGGATGAGGGTGATCTAATAGTTGATGAGGGTGATCTAATAGTGGATGAGGGTGATCTAATAGTGGATGAGGGTGATCTAATAGTGGATGAGGGTGATCTAGAAGTGGATGAGGGTGATCTAGAAGTGGATGAGGGTGATCTAGTAGTGGATGAGGGTGATCTAATAGTTGATGAGGGTGATCTAATAGTTGATGAGGGTGATCTAGTAGTGGATGAGGATGATCTAGTAGTGGATGAGGGTGATCTAATAGTGGATGAGGGTGATCTAATAGTTGATGAGGGTGATCTAGTAGTGGATGAGGATGATCTAGTAGTGGATGAGGGTGATCTAATAGTTGATGAGGGTGATCTAATAGTGGATGAGGGTGATCTAGTAGTGGATGAGGGTGATCTAGTAGTGGATGAGGGTGATCTAATAGTGGATGAGGGTGATCTAATAGTTGATGAGGGTGATCTAGTAGTGGATGAGGATGATCTAGTAGTGGATGAGGGTGATCTAATAGTTGATGAGGGTGATCTAGTAGTGGATGAGGGTGATCTAGTAGTGGATGAGGGTGATCTAGTAGTGGATGAGGGTGATCTAGTAGTGGATGAGGGTGATATAATAGTGGATGAGGGTGATCATATAGAGGATGAGGGTAATCTAATAAAGGATGAGGTCATCTGATAGAGGATGAGGGTGATCTAGTTGTTGATGAGGGTGATCTAATAGTGGATGAGGGTGATCTAATAGTTGATGAGGGTGATCTAATAGTGGATGAGGGTGATCTAATAGTGGATGAGGGTGATCTAGTAGTGGATGAGGGTGATCTAGTAGTGGATGAGGGTGATCTAATAGTGGATGAGGGTGATCATATAGAGGATGAGGGTAATCTAATAAAGGATGAGGTCATCTGATAGAGGATGAGGGTGATCTAGTTGTTGATGAGGGTGATCTAATAGTGGATGAGGGTGATCTAATAGTGGATGAGGGTGATCTAATAGTTGATGAGGGTGATCTAGTAGTGGATGAGGATGATCTAGTAGTGGATGAGGGTGATCTAATAGTGGATGAGGGTGATCTAATAGTTGATGAGGGTGATCTAGTAGTGGATGAGGATGATCTAGTAGTGGATGAGGATGATCTAGTAGTGGATGAGGGTGATCTAATAGTGGATGAGGGTGATCTAGTAGTGGATGAGGGTGATCTAATAGTGGATGAGGGTGATCTAATAGTGGATGAGGGTGATCTAATAGTGGATGAGGGTGATCTAGTAGTGGATGAGGGTGATCTAATAGTGGATGAGGGTGATCTAGTAGTGGATGAGGGTGATCTAATAGTGGATGAGGGTGATCTAATAGTGGATGAGGGTGATCTAGTAGTGGATGAGGGTGATCTAGTAGTGGATGAGGGTGATCTAGTAGTGGATGAGGGTGATCTAATAGTGGATGAGGGTGATCTAATAGTTGATGAGTGTGATCTAGTAGTGGATGAGGATGATCTAATAGTTGATGAGGGTGATCTAATAGTGGATGAGGGTGATCTAGTAGTGGATGAGGGTGATCTAATAGTGGATGAGGGTGATCTAGTAGTGGATGATGGTGATCTAGTAGTGGATGAGGGTGATCTAGTAGTGGATGAGGGTGATCTAGTAGTGGATGAGGGTGATCTAGTAGTGGATGAGGGTGATCTAGTAGTGGATGAGGGTGATCTAGTAGTGGATGAGGGTGATCTAATAGTGGATGAGGGTGATCATATAGAGGATGAGGGTAATCTAATAAAGGATGAGGTCATCTGATAGAGGATGAGGGTGATCTAGTTGTTGATGAGGGTGATCTAATAGTGGATGAGGGTGATCTAATAGTTGATGAGGGTGATCTAGTTGTGGATGAGGGTGATCTAATAGTGGATGAGGGTGATCTAATAGTGGATGAGGGTGATCTAGTAGTGGATGAGGGTGATCTAGTAGTGGATGAGGGTGATCTAATAGTGGATGAGGGTGATCATATAGAGGATGAGGGTAATCTAATAAAGGATGAGGTCATCTGATAGAGGATGAGGGTGATCTAGTTGTTGATGAGGGTGATCTAATAGTGGATGAGGGTGATCTAGTAGTGGATGAGGGTGATCTAATAGTGGATGAGGGTGATCTAATAGTGGATGAGGGTGATCTAGTAGTGGATGAGGGTGATCTAGTAGTGGATGAGGGTGATCTAGTAGTGGATGAGGGTGATCTAATAGTGGATGAGGGTGATCATATAGAGGATGAGGGTAATTTAATAAAGGATGAGGTCATCTGATAGAGGATGAGGGTGATCTAGTTGTTGATGAGGGTGATCTAATAGTGGATGAGGGTGATCTAATAGTGGATGAGGGTGATCTAGTAGTGGATGAGGGTGATCTAATAGTGGATGAGGGTGATCTAATAGTGGATGAGGGTGATCTAGTAGTGGATGAGGGTGATCTAGTAGTGGATGAGGGTGATCTAGTAGTGGATGAGGGTGATCTAATAGTGGATGAGGGTGATCATATAGAGGATGAGGGTAATCTAATAAAGGATGAGGTCATCTGATAGAGGATGAGGTCATCTGATAGAGGATGAGGTCATCTGATAGAGGATGAGGGTGATCTAATAGAGGATGAGGGTGATCTAATAGAGGATGAGGGTGATATAATAGTGGATGAGGGTGATATAATAGTGGATGAGGGTGATATAATAGTGGATGAGGGTGATATAATAGTGGATGAGGGTGATCTAATAGAGGATGAGGGTGATATAATAGAGGACGAGGGGAATGAGGGTGATCTAATAGAGGATGAAGGGGTTGAGGGTGATCTAATAGAGGATGAGGGTGATATAATAGTGGATGATTGTGATCTAATAGAGGATGAGGTCATCTGATAGAGGATGAGGTCATCTGATAGAGGATGAGGTCATCTGATAGAGGATGATTGTGATCTAATAGTTGATGATTGTGATCTAATAGAGGATGAGGGTGATATAATAGAGGATGAGGGTGATCTAATAGTGGATGAGGGTGATCTAATAGTGGATGAGGGTGATCTAATAGAGGATGAGGGTGATCTAATAGAGGACGAGGGGAATGAGGGTGATCTAATAGAGGATGAGGGGAATGAGGGTGATCTAATAGAGGATGAAGGGGTTGAGGGTGATCTAATAGAGGATGAGGGTGATATAATAGTGGATGAGGGTGATCTAAAAGAGGATGAGGGTGATCTAATAGAGGATGAGGGTGATATAATAGTGGATGAGGGTGATCTAAAAGAGGATGAGGGTGATCTAATAGAGGATGAGGGGAATGAGGGTGATCTAATAAAGGATGAGGGGGTTGAGGGTGATATAATAGAGGATGAGGGTGATATAATAGAGGATGAGGGTGATCTAATAGTTGATGAGGGCTATCTAATAGTGGATGATGGTGATCTAATAGAGGATGAGGGGGATGAGGGTGATCTAATAGAGGATGAGGTCATCCAACACAGGATGAGGGTGATCTAATAGAGGATGAGGTCATCCAACACAGGATGAGGGTGATCTAATAGAGGATGAGGTCATCCAACACAGGATGAGGGTGATCTGATAGAGGGTGAGGTCATCCAACACAGGATGAGAGTGATCTGAAAGAGGATGAGGTCATCCAACACAGGATGAGGGTGATCTGATAGAGGATGAGGTCATCCAACACAGGATGAGGGTGATCTGATAGAGGATGAGGTCATCCAACACAGGATGAGGGTGATCTGATAGAGGATAAGGTCATCCAACACAGGATGAGAGTGATCTAATAGAGAATGAGGTCATCCAACACAGGATGAGGGTGATCTGATAGAGGGTGAGGGTGATCTAATAGAGGACGGATTGAAGCTTCTGTGGATCCTGATGCTAACAGTTTTTAGTTTTTCTCTTCCATCTACAGTCGCTCTGACATGTAGGAGCCAAATCTTCAGCAGGGTTTTATAAACTTTCCACTTTTCCAAACTATGCTAATGGTTTTAATCTGAGCTGTTTCAAACCGCTTCACTCACAGACCTGGGTGGGATAGAAATCCACGTCCTCTAACTCGTAGCATCACCTTCCTCTCATTTGTCATCTGAACCAGGTTCATTTTAACCAGTTAAAAACTTTGAACCGAATGTAAACATCTGGAGTTTACATCTTTGATTTCCTAGATTTTCAAAGCTTTTGAACAATGGAATGAGAAAAGTGGGAACAGTTCCTGTACTTGGCCACAGTTGGAAAGGACTGATGTGAAATTCCAGATGTTTCCAGATGTTTCCTGGAGAAGCGCTTTTCTTCATGCTGCTGTGTTTTCAGAGAGAAGTGGAAATCCTCATGTTCCTCAGCGCCATCGTCATGATGAAGAACCGTAGAGCCAGTGAGTATGTCCGCCATCAGCTTCTGGATTTCTAAATCCAGCCCGTTGCCATGGAAACGTATCAACCTGTGTGCCTGCTCTGCTCAGTCACCGTGGAGCAGCACGTGGGAAACATCTTCCTGTTCAGTAAGGTGGCCAACGTGATCCTGTTCTTCCGCCTGGACGTCAGGATGGGGCTGCTCTACCTGACGCTCTGCATAGGTGGGTCAGCTTCCTGTGGGGGGTGGGGTCATTCAGAGCTCCGCCCTCCAACCCGCTGCTCTCTGTGCTGCTTGTTTTCCAGTGTTTCTGATGACCTGTAAGCCTCCGCTCTACATGGGACCAGAGTACATCAAGTACTTCAGTGACAAAACCATGGATGTGAGTAACTCCTGCACGGCGACGCCGCAGCGCTGCAAACGGCCACAGTCCTAACCCTGTGTGTGTTTAGGATGAGCTGAACAAGGACAGTCGAGCCACCTGGATCGTTGAGTTTTTTGCCAACTGGTCTCCAGAGTGTCAGTCCTTCGCCTCGGTTTACGCCGACCTCTCGCTCAAGTAAGGCTCCAAACAGAGGGAACCTCTGGCTAAACCCCTTTAACTTTCTTTTTTCAGATTCTTATTTTTTTTCCAAATGTCTTGTTTTCAGATTGAGTTTATAAATTGCATAATTTTGGGGATAAAAATGGATCACTGCCTGCAGCTGTCCACATCTGCAGCCTGTCTAAGAAAGGCAGAATAGTTTCTGCAACCTTTAATGTCCCATTCTGATTGAATTCTCACATTGCGTTTTCCAGAAGACATTGGCCGTATCTCAGTTCACTAGAACGCGAGTACGGACTCGTGTCCTCCTCACCACGTATGTTCATGAAAAAAAGTGTGGATTGGGGAGAACGGGATTACGCAGCATAAATATGGTTCAAGTGGAACAGAAGCGTACTGATGACATCACCACACGCTCTGCTAGTTTGGAGCTGCATTTCTCCTCCTGTTGGATAATATCCTCTAGATAATAATAAATTCTGCCTTTTTTAATTTAGTGGGGGAATAATAATATCAAAACAGTCAGATAAACACAAATCAAATTAACATTTTGAAGAATAAAACAATCAAATCTCCATCATAGCCAGCGGTACTTCACAAACCGCTATGCTGGGAGAGGGCCGCTGCAGACGGGCTAACGTTTAACTATCGGCCAATGTCTTCACCTCAGGGGGCGGGAAGAAGCATTTCTATTGGTCTGCAACATTCTGATTGGTCAGGAGCCTTTTAATCTGCCCTGATGTGAAAGAAAGGAATGTGATCTGTGAAACGCTACTAGGAAAGAACTCAATCTGAAAGAGAGAAATTAGAAAAAATAATTTCAGAAGAAAAGATACAATGTGAGAAAACAGCAAAGTTACTATATTAAATTTCCAAGAAAAGTTAAAAAAAACAATCCACTGGACTTAGTTTCCAAGTTTAAAGACGTTTCTTTTTCAATTCAAAATGTCAGGAATAGCATTGAGTTCCAGGTTTTATCCAGCAGCCCAACAAAGCCTGGTTTTTTGTTTTGAAAACATGCAAATAGAAACAGATGAACGGGTCCCCCCCCCTTTGGAATGGGGGTCGTTTGGCTTCATAGTTAGCCTGCAATGCCCCATACCTGTCTATGCCTCTGAAAGGGGGTCGTTAGAGGGAATTGCTGGCCTGGCTGAACAGGTGGGGTCTTCTGTAAAGGGGTTTGGGTGGAGATGACAAGGCTTTGTTGGGCCACTCTATAAAGCCTGGTTTATACTCTGAAACCAGGTCGTCTGCGTTTGTGTCGCAGTTAAAGCAAATGTGTCCCCGCCCCCTCCGCAGACACTCTGCTGCACCTCTCCAAAATTGTAGGTGAGACCTCTTTATTGGTCAAATCTACATCCGCTCTACAATATCCGTATTTCCTGTTTTGTACCTTAGCGGCTTGTTTTGTTTGTCAGACCGCCATTGTGGAAATCGACTGGTGAAGATGGACCCGCTAGAAGATTGAGAACGCTGGGTCCCTTTTCCCACCTGGTTCCCTGCTCTTTTTGGCTGCCATGTCCCTCCATTGGCCCCCACTTTCTCACCACCTCTGCCATGTCCAATATCTTCAATATTGGACATGAATCAAAAATACCTGCAACAAGCTCACTGAGACACACTGCTGCAGGAGGATAACTAGCCCTTAAAGCAACTCGACGCCATTTCTGACATTTTGAATTGAAAAAGCTTCCTGGATGGGAAGAGAAATGTCTTCAAACTTGTAAACAAAGTCCAGTGGATTGTTTTCTAACATTTTTAGAATGACTACGACCTGGATGACCGAGAATCTTCTCCAGCTATATTACTGTATTAATATTTGGAAGAATCATTTTTAATTTTATAAAACCTGATTTTTAAAACCTTGTAACAATAATAGAACCACAGTTTGGAGATTTTCCTTCAGCATTTCTGAACCAATCAGCTGCCTGAACATCAGATGGATCCAGTTTAATGAGGAATGAGGTGAATGTAGATCCAGGAGGCGGAGCTCAGACAGGAAACTAGAGGAAAGCTAAAGATGATCTTCTAATGGCTGAAGGATGCATGGTTCTGATGGTTCTGGTGGTTCTGGTAGTTCTGATGGTTCTGGTGGTTCTGGTGGTTCTGATGGTTCTGGTGGTTCTGGTGGTTCTGGTAGTTCTGATGGTTCTGGTGGTTCTGGTGGTTCTGATGGTTCTGGTGGTTCTGATGGTTCTGGTGGTTCAGGTGTGTGGCAGGAAGGGTCTGATCAGTCTCCCTCTGCTGCAGGTATAACTGTGCCGGCCTCAAGTTTGGGAAGGTGGACATCGGACGTTATGGCGAAGTGTCCAAAAGGTGGGCGGTCTCCTGGTGAGGAAGCTCTCTGCAGAGGAGCTGCTGCTCAACCTCAGCCTGCTCTGTTCATCTGCAGGTACAAGGTGTCCGCATCTCCGCTCTCCAAGCAGCTTCCATCCTTGGTCTTATTTCAGGGGGGGAAGGAAGTAATGCGGCGCCCCCAGGTGGACAAGAAAGGCAGAGCGGTGTCCTGGAGCTTCACTGAGGTCAGACTGTCCACAGGAAGTCCTCAGCTGTCGCCATGGAGATCCTTTCAGATCTTGTTTGTCTGATCCACGTGTTCCCGTTCTCCTCCAGGAAAACATCATCCGAGAGTTCAACCTCAACGAGCTCTACCAGAGCTCCAAAAAGCTCAGCAAGAGCAGGTACGAGAAGATGAGCGCGTCACAGTTCCCGGCCGTGCCCGAGGAGGAGGAGCCTGAGCAGGCGGGAGCCGACGCCCAGGGGGAGGAGCCTGAGTCCAAGAAGGATAAATAGGATGGTCGGATCACGCAGCTCTATGTGGACCAATCATCTGCCTCATCCCCTCTGCAGCTGGCTGGGGGACGACAGCAGCTCATCATCATCTTTTACTCTTTTCTTGGTCTTAGAAATCTATAAATAGCAAATGTTTTTGTCCTTAGATGATTAAAAACTGAGAAACTTTAACAGGATGTTAGGATGGGGGGGTGTAGACTGTTCCTAATGTGAGGAAGCTTTGAGTTCATCAGGTTTCATACTAATACTTCAGATCCCTCAGCCTGTTCCTCTGCTCCCACACCGTCCCTCTCTGTATTAGCCCCGCCCTTTCTGTGAGGGATCAGACAGGGCGGGTTCTCCTCCAGTCCGCCCACGCTCCAGGCCTGATGCTGCAGCAGGTGATCCTGGCCTGGACAGAACAGCCGTGGGTCAGAGACGCTGATCCGCTTTCATTTTAACATTCCAGTCCTGAAGTCTGGATTTATTCTGAACGCACTGAGTTTGTTCTTCTTTATGTTGTTCCTAAACTTTAACTTCTAAAAGTAGATTTTCTATGTTTGTCATGATGCATTCCTCCAGCTCCATCCACACCTGGAGCCTTTTATACTTGTGTTTGTCCTTCTTACATGAGAAATAAAACCCATTTGCACACCAGTTCGTCCCGTGTCTCTTGCAACAACACTGCAGGATGGTGGGCGGAGCCTTTAAATATCCGCCTTTCATGCAGTGATTTAGTTTTCATGCAATTATGAAGGTTATTTTGTTTCAAAACTATTTGTGCATTGCAAGTGTGAATTTGAAGTTGTAGAGAGAGTTGCAGTCTAAATTAATCAGTAGAATTTAGAAAAAAAAATCACAAGTACATTTTTTTTAACACCTGTTTAAATTTTTAAGTACATGTTCACAAATTCTGTTCTACAAGTTGCACATCAAAAACCTCTTAGATTCTCAGTTTTAACCATAATCAGCGTTTTGATGCAGTCATCCCCGTTTCCATGCAGTTAGAAGTGAGCTGCAGCTGTAGTGAGATCAGAGTCTGGCTGAGATGTTCAGACCAGAAGAAGCACCTGATATTTAGCAGAATAGTTTTTTCATCTCTTCTATGCATAAAGGTTGTCTGTTATTGGACTTTACTTGTGTATTTATATATTCCTGAAACTGTCCAGTTCTTTGAAGATGTTCATTGCATTTCAGTCTAATTTTCACATTCCTCCCATTTTTATTCTGATCATTTAAAACCTTTTCCTTTATTTTAGACGTTACCGTCCAGCTGCTGAAACCGATTCTTTTTCTCCGCTGATGAAGGTTTTCTAATCTGCATATTTGTCTATTACAGTAATTTAGGAGCCAATTTTTTCAACAGATTAGAAGTTGGATCAGTCTCAACATTCAGATACTATGATTTTGAACAGACAAAATAGAAAACTGAGATAAATCATATACAGCCCTCTTCCAGAAATGATGGAATCGGCGGATGTTCATTCAGTTGTTTAATTTTTAGAGTAAAAGCAGATCACAGACATGGCACAAAACTAAAGTCATTTCAGATGGCAGCTGTCTGGCTTTAAGAAACTCTTAAAGTCGGCAACGGTTACTTTTTTAGACCAAAACAATTAGGAATCATGAAAAAACATTCCAGCACTTCACTAGTATTTTGTTGCACCACCTCTGGATTTTCTACCAGCTTGCAGCCTCTGAGTCATGGACGGAGTGACAAACAGGAATCTTTTCAACTGGATTAAGATCTGGACTATTTCCAGGCCATGAAATTAAACTTATTTCTTTTTTCAAGGAAGGTTTTCACAGTCTTTGCTCTATGGCATGATGCATTATCAAAAAAAAAAGAAAATGGTTTCAGCATCACCAAAAATCCTTTCAGTTGATGAGATCATTGTCTTTACTGATTTTCACAGTGGAGAAATTTACTCCATGAATAAAAGACATCAGAAGGATAAGAAAAGTGTTTCGATTTAAACTTGTGCATTTATTGAAGTTGTAATGACAGCCATCTCCCAGTGCCTTTACCTGACCCATGGCACCATGTTGACTGATGTAGCCCCGTATCCCCATCAATGCCTGCGGGAATGTGCATCTTCTCTTCAGGCAGTCATCTTTAGAAGTCTCATTGGAATGGCACCAGACCAGAGTTCCAGGTTCATCACTGGAGATTCATCACTGATCATGACTTTCATCCACATTTTATTCCTTTCAGTGTTTCTTAAAGCCAGACAGCTGCCATCTGAAATGACTTTAGTTTGTCTATGATCTGCTTTTTTTCTATTCAATTCAATTCAGTTTATTTATATAGCGCCAAATTCACAACACATGTCATCTCAAGGCACTTTACAGTTCAGCCAGATCATGCAGTCAAATTGATACAAAGTTTTCTATCTAAGGAAAACCAGTTGATTGCATTGACTCATTGACTCAAATATAATCCCCCACACTAAGCATGCTTGTAGCGACAGTGGAGAGGAAAAACTCCCTTTTAACAGGAAGAAACCTCAAGCAGAACCAGGCTCAGTGTGAGCGGCCATCTGCTGAGGCCGACTGGGGTTCAAGGAGACAGAAGCAGAGATACAAAAAGCAGCTGTAAAAGGCGGCCCCGTCCAGGAAACACACAGCCAGGCAGACGAGCTCCAAGGCAGCTCCCATGCCAGAGGACGAAGAGAGCACATCCACTCAGTCACGGTCAGAGAAACAGGACCACACTGGAAAACAGGCCGATCTCCAACATCTATAAACAAGGGTGTTGATAGAAGCAGCACAGCTGATGTTTCTTTCCAGGATGACATCACAGCCAAACAGGAACAGACGAGGCAAAGCTACTCTGAGGAAAAGCAGAGAGAGCAGAAGGTTAGAAAATGAACTAACAGATTCTGCAGAATAGGAGAACGGAAAGAGAATGAAGCAGAATGATGAAATGGGGGTCCCTATGTCCTCCAAAAGTCTAAGCCTATAGCAGCATAACTATAGAGATAGCTCAGGATAACCTGAGCCACTCTAACTATAAGCTTTATCAAAAATGAAAGTTTTAAGCCTAGCCTTAAAAGTAGACAGGGTGTCTGCCTCACGGACTAAAACTGGTAGTTGGTTCCACAGGAGAGGAGCCTGATAACTAAAAGATCTGCCTCCCATTCTACTTTTAGAAATTCTAGGAACCACTAGTAAACCTGCAGATTGAGAGCGAAGTGCTCTGTTAGGAACATAAGGAACAATCAGATCTCTGATATCAGATGGAGCTTGGCCATTTAAGGCTTTATATGTGAGAAGGAGGATTTTAAATTCTATTCTTGATTTAACAGGAAGCCAATGAAGAGAAGCCAGGATAGGCGAGATATGATCTCTCTTTTTAATTTTCATTAGAACTCTGGCTGCAGCATTTTGGATCAGCTGAAGGCTTTTAACTACAGTTTGTGGACTTCCTGATAGTAAAGAATTACAATAGTCCAGCCTTGAAGTAACAAATGCATGGACTAGTTTCTCAGCATCACCCCTGGACAGGATATTTCTAATTTTTGCAATGTTCCTCAGATGAAAGAAGGAAATTCTAGAAACCTCTTTGATATGGGATTTAAATGACAGGTCCTGATCAAAAATAACACCAAGATTTTTTACTTTATTATCTGAAATCAGTTTAATCCCATCCAAATGAAGTGACTGGCTAATCAGTTTCTTTTTCATAGACTCTGGTCCAAAGACTATAACTTCTGTTTTGTCTGCATTCGGAAGCAGAAAGTTGAGAGTCATCCAGGTTTTTATGTCTTCAAGACATGCCTGTAATCTATGTAATGGGTTAGCTTCATCTGGATTTATAGACAGATATAGCTGGGTATCATCAGCATAACAGTGGAAATTAATCCCATGCTGTCTAATAATTCTACCAATTGGGAGCATGTATAAAGTAAAGAGAATTGGTCCTAGCACTGATCCCTGTGGTACTCCACAGGTAACCTTTGAGCATGTTGAAGATCTATCATTAACATGAACAAACTGAATTCGATCAGATAGATAAGATTTAAACCAGTCTAGTGCTGTTCCTTTAATTCCAACAAAATATTCAAGTCTTTCTAAAAGAATATTATGGTCAACTGTATCAAATGCAGCACTAAGATCCAACAGGACGAGCACAGATACAAGTCCATTATCTGAGGCCATGAGAATATCATTAGTGACTTTCACCAGAGCTGTTTCAGTGCTATGATGAGCTCTAAAGCCAGACTGAAACTCTTCAAAAAGTTCATTATGGTGGAAGTGATCGCAAACTTGTTTGGCAACTACTTTCTCAAGAATTTTGGATAAGAAAGGAAGATTGGATATAGGTCTATAATTGACCAAGTCATCTGGGTCAAGAGACGGTTTCTTAAGCAGAGGTTTAATTACAGCAACCTTAAAAGCTTTAGGTACATATCCCTGTAACAGAGATAGATTAATCACATCTAAAATGGAGGAGGAGATTAAAGGGAATACCTCCTTAAATAACCTGGTTGGAACTGGATCTAACATACAAGTTGAAGGCTTAGATGAAGACAATAATTTTGCTAACTCAGAAAGTTCAACTGGATCAAAGCAGTCTAAACCCGGTTCAGATTCCATGACTACCTCAGGTACAATCGCGGATAGAGGAGTGCTTATGATCTTATTTTTAATAAGATCAATCTTATTTATAAAGAATCCCATAAAATCATTGCTGCTAACAGCAGGTGGAATGGACGGTTCAACAGAGCTATGGCTCTGGGTGAGTTTGGCAACTGTATTAAAAAGAAATCTAGGATTATTCTTATTCTCCTCTATTAATGAGGAGAAGTATGCTGCTCTTGCTTTACAAAGGGTCCTCTTATACAGCAGTAAACCATTTTTCCAGACTAGGAAGGACTCTCGCAGGCCTGTGGAGCGATATTTTCTCTCCAGTTTCCTAGCATTTTGCTTCAAAGTACGCAGCTCTGCATTAAACCAAGGAGCAAGCTTTCTATTTTTAACGGTTTTCATTTTCAAAGGAGCTGCGTTGTCTAAGGCAGTACGCAGAGAACTAGCAACCCCATCAACAAAATCATCAACCTGTGAAGGGGAATAAGCTATGCTTTTGCACTCTGCAGCACTGCTCAGTGATACAGAGGAGAGAGAAAGTGAAGCAGATTCTTTAAAATTTATAACTGCACTATCTGATAAAGATCTACTAAAATTGAACCTTCTTTTGGGGGAGGAGAACTCTGTTAAAGTAATCCTGAAGTTTATTAGAAAGTGGTCAGAGAGGACAGGGTTGTGAGGAAATACTGTTATTTCTTCACATTCTATGCCGTATGTCAGCACAAGATCCAAAGTATGAAGATGAGAATGTGTGGGAGTATTCACAATTTGAACAAAGCCAATAGTGTCTAAGATAGCATTAAAGGCTGCTCTTAAGCTATCGCCTTCAATGTCAGCATGGATGTTAAAATCTCCCACTATGATGACCCTGTCAGTATTTAATACCAAATCAGAAAGGAACTCTGAAAACTCATCTAAAAATTCAGAGTAAGGACCTGGTGGACGATACAAAGTTACAAAAAGAAGAGGTTTTCTTGCCTTGAAATTTGGATCAGGGAAATTAAGGGTTAAATGCTCAAAAGAGTTGTAGGTATTAATTGTTTTGGGAGTAATCAGTAAGTCAGACT